AAAAAATTGAAAACTCGAAAAATTCACAAATCGAATATATATTTATAAAACAGTCGAAAATTGAAAAATCCAAAGTTTAAAAAACGAAAAACTGAAGAATTACGAATTGGAGAAAGGGTAAAATAAAAGAATATATATATTAATCGAAAAATCGGAAAACTGAAAATTTAGCAACGTCAAAATTTGAAAAATTGTAAAAAGAACTGGAAAATCAAAAAATCCAGAAATCGAAAAATCTAAAATTGAAAGCATTGAACAATTGAAATTTCGCAAAATTGAAAAATGCAGAAATCCAAACATCAAAGAATCAAAAAAGAAAAATTCGAAAATCTAAAACTTAAAAATCGGATAACTGAAAAATCGAAACATCGAAAAATGGAAAATCGAAAAACCGAGAAATCCAAAAATCGAAACATCGAGAAATAGAAAAAAAATGAGAAATTGATAAATTGAGAAATAAAAAAATTGAAAAATTTTAAAAAAGAAAAATTAAAACGTCGAAAGGTTGAAAAAAATTAAGAAATCGAAGTATAAAACTGCCGAAAATTTGAGAAATCTAAAGTTTAACGAAAAATTGAAAATCCAAAAAGTAAAAAAGGGGTGGAAACCCAAAAACTGCAAAATGAAAAATTTAAAAATTGGAAAACCGACGAATTGGAGTCGGCGTGAAAATTTGAAAAATTGAGTAAACGAAAAATTGGAAAATCGAAAGAAACAACAAAAAATAAGGAAATAAAAAAACAAAAAATTGTGATATAAAATCGAGAAAATGAAAAATAAAATATCAGGAAAATGCAAAATAAAAATCGGGGAGTTGAAAAATTGAGGGGACGGAAAATTGAAAAAGGGCACAATTAAAAATCGAGAGTGCGAAAAATGGAAAAATGAGAAATTGAAAAACTGGAAAATGGAAGTCGACAAATTGTAAAATTGAAAAATCAAAAATAAAAAAACGAAAAAGTGTAAAATGAAAACTTAAAAAATGTACAAGTGAAAATTTGAAAAATGTAATAAAGGAAAAATGGTAAAATCGAAAGAAATAACAAAAAATAAAGGAAATCAAAAAAGGAAAATTGTGATATAAAATCGATAAAGTGAAAAATTAAAATCGGAAACAAAAAATTGGAAAAGCGAAAATGAAAAATTGAGAAACTGAAAAATCGAAAATTGAAAATCTGTAATATTGAAAAATTGGCAAATTAAAAAACTGATGCAAACCGAAAAATTGAAAATAAAAAACGAAAAATTACAAAATGAAATCTTGAAAAATCTTGAGAATCGAAAAAGTGAAAAATCATAAAAAAAATATGTATTATGAAATAGAAATATTTAAAATTAAAGAAATTGGAAAATCGGAACACTGGAAATCCAAAAACTGCGATGTGAAAAATTTAAAAATTGAAAAATGGACGAACTGAAAATTCAAAGCCTGAAAATTTGAAAAATTGAACAAATGAAAAATTGTAAAATAGAAAAAAAAACACAGAAAATAAAGGAAATGAAGAAACGGATAATTGTGATATAAATCGAAAAAATAAAAATTAAAAATTCGCCACACTGAAAAATGAAAATCGGTAACATGAAAAATTGAGAAACTGAAAATTCGAAAAATTGAAGAAACGAAAAATTAAAAAATCTAAAAAAACAACAAAAAAAAAGAAATTGAAAAAATGACAATTTGTGACATAAAATCGAGAAAATGAAAATTAAAAAAATCGGGAAAATGAAAAATAAAAATCAAGAACTTGAAAAATTGAGGAAACGAAAAATTGAAAATGACAAAAATTAAAACTGAGAATGTGAAAAATCGAAAAATGAGAAACTGTAATATCGAAAAATTGCAAAATTAAAAAATTGCAAATCGAAAAATTGAAAAATTTAGATGTCAAGAAACTGTAAAATTAAAAAATCAACAAATAAAAAAACGAAAAAGTATATAATGAAAACTTGAAAAATGTCAAAAGTGAAAACTGAAAAACTTAAAATTCGAAAAAGTGAAAAATAAAATTGTATCACATAACATAGTCTTACACACGTAGTTTATGACTCCTAATTGAGATTTTACCCGAAACGTCCAGATTTTTGGAAAAAAAGCCAAAATTATCATAATTTTTCGATCAAAATTTCGAATACTATTCCATTTCTGGTTTTTGGATTTTTTTGAGTTTTCGATTCTTTAATTTCAGTTTTTTGGTTTTTTCAATTTTTATAATTTTCCATTTCGCAATTTTTCATTTTTCCGATTTTTCAATTTTGCGATATTTTTCGTATTTTAATTTTTGGATTTTTTATTTTTATAATTTTCCATTTTATTTTTAATTTCTCAATTTTTCATTTTTCGACCTTTTCGATTTTTCAACTTTCCAATTTTGCAAAATTTCGAGAATTTCCAAAACCGTTTAATTTCGGATTTTTCAGTTTTTGATTCTTCGATTTTTAATTTTTAGAATTTCCCTATTTCACTTTTTGAATTTTTTATTTTAATTTTTCCGATTCGTCTGAAAACTTGTTTAAAATGGTATACATATTTGTAGAGAAGTGTGGGAGATGAAATTTACAATTTTAAACATGTTTTCAGTCCAGTTATGAAGAGTATGTATATTAAGGAAAAAAAGTCAAATCATAATTTTTCGATCAAAATTTCGAATACTATTCCATTTCTGGTTTTTGTTTTTTTTTGAGTTTTCGATTCTTTAATTTCAGTTTTTTGTTTTTCTTAATTTTTATAATTTTCCATTTCGCAATTTTTCATTTTTCCAATTTTTCAATTTTGCGATGTTTTTCGTATTTTAATTTTTCGGTTTTTTATTTTTATAATTTTCCAATTTATTTTCAATTTCTCATTTTTCATTTTTCGACATTTTCGATTTTTCAACTTTCCAATTCTGCAAAATTTCGAGAATTTCCAAAACCGTTTAATTTCGGATTTTTCAGTTTTTGATTCTTCGATTTTTAATTTTTAGAATTTCCCTATTTCACTTTTTGAATTTTTTATTTTAATTTTTCCGATTCGTCTGAAAACTTGTTTAAAATGGTATACATATTTGTAGAGAAGTGTAGGAGATAAAATTTACCATTTTAAACATGTTTTCAGTCCAGTTATGAAGAGTATGAATATTAAGGAAAAAAAATTGAAATAATAATTTTTCGATCAAAATTTCGAATACTATTCCATTTCTGGTTTTTGGATTTTTTTGAGTTTTCGATTCTTTAATTTCAGTTTTTTGTTTTTTTTAATTTTTATAATTTTCCATTTAATTTTCAATTTCTCAATTTTTCATTTTTCCAATTTTTCAATTTTGTGATTTTTTTTCGTATTTTAACTTTTCGATTTTTTATTTTTATAACTGGCGATTTTGGCATAACGATAGAAATTTTTGAAAGAAAAGAAGTCTAAAATGATTTCTGGAAGTTGAAATCTACAAGAAAATGTCTAGCTAATCTTCGAAAAATTGAAAATCGAAAAATCAAAAATCTATAAAATTTGAAATTGGAAAACCGAAAAATCAAAAAATCGAAACATGGAAAAATCCAAAATAATAAAAATTCTAAAATTAAAAAATTAAAAAATTGAAAAATAGAAATGTGGAGGGAATAAAAAATCGAAAAATTGCGAAATCGAAACATTGAAAGGTAGATAAATTAATACATGGGACAATAAAAATATCGACAGCTCAAAAAATCAAAAATCTAAAATTTGAAAAATCGAGAAATAGAGAAGGAAGCAAATTGAAAATTCAAATATCGAAAAAACAAAAATTCGATGAATCACATGTTCAAAAAAAAAAACGGAAAATCAAGATTTCAAAAAATCGTAAAATCCAACACTGGAAATACAGAAAAAACGAAATATCGTAATCCGAAAAATCAAAAATTCTAAAATCGAAAAGTCTAAAAAACCGAGAAATCGAGAAATCCAAATATCAATAAAATGAAAAATTGAAACATCTAGAAATTGAAATATCAAAAGATCGAAACATTTGACAAAATGAAAACTTTTATTTAAAAAAAATCGAAAAGTCGAAAAACTGAAAAAACGAAAAATTTTAAAAAATAAAAAATTGGAAAACCGAGAGATCAAAAAATCGAAAGATAAAGAAATCGGAGCGCCAAAATACTGAAAATTTTAAAATTTAAAAATGAAAAAAATTGAAACATTGAAAATCTAAGAAATGAAAAATCGAAAAATTGAGAAAACAAGAACCTGAAAAATCGAAAAATTGGAGGATTGAAAAAGTAAAAAATCGAAAAATCCAGAAATCGAAACATTGAAAAGTCGATAAACCTAAAATGGGAAAATTAAATAAAAGATAAATTCTAATGTATGTCGAAAAATCCAGAAATCGAAAAGTCGAAAAATCAGAAAATCGATTAATGGAAAAATTGAGAAATCGAAAAATCGAAAATTTAAAAACATCAAAAACTGAAAAATCCAAAAATTGAAAAATCGTAAAACTGAAACATCGGAAAATTGAAATATCGAAAATTCAAAAAATCAAAAACCGAACATTTGGAAAATCGAAAATTTGCACAATTGAAAACACAAAAAGTCGAGAAGTCGAAAAGGAAGCAAATCGAGAAAACGAATATCGGAAAATTAATTTTAGTCATCTGTTTTGGGGCGATAAACTCATTCAAATCAAACAAATGTCTACGTGACATTCTTCCGATGTAATTTATTCCCGTTGATAATGTGCTGTAAATAATTTGTTTACACTCATAACATTTTTTGATGACCTTGGCACATTCAACAGGATTTTAATAAATGAATAAGTACTTTGGTTTCTTTTGACTTTGTTTGTGCTTTGGCCATAAGTAAAATAAACAATAAAACTAGAATGAAGGTCGTCACAACACCTTAAAAAAGCACTTTATGCAATTATTATGAAATCATCATTTATACAGCACTTATTTAAAAATTTAAACCATCATATTTAATAACAGAACAACCTCCAATAAAGGACAATTACGACTTAACAAAAAAAAAACATCTTTCCTGGTTTCCTGGTAAATTTTTTATTCATTTACGTCTGTGCATCCGCCCGAAACAAATAAAAAATTAAAGCAAAATACAATAGAGAGATTAAACAACTCCTAGACTCCATCTCAATGCAACTGCCTGTGCAGAGCAGGCACAGAATCATCGAACTCCGCCTGGAAGTAGTTCCCAGCAACCGGATCCCCCAAATTATACTTCTTGGCAAACTCCTCCGTCGAAAACTTCCCTCTCTTCCCGTTGGTGTTGCTCTTGTGCTCCTCCTCGAACGTGATCTTCCCTGGCTGTTTGTACAGGAGGAACACGTAGCGGTGCAAACCGGTGTCTTTGGGGGGTCCGGAGCCCACGTACTCGGTCAAGACTTCGCCTTTGGAGACGTCGGATCCTGGAATGTTTCCGACCAGCCAGTGGTTCCATTCTCTCATGGGGTGTTTCTGGCGGCTGGGGGCGTCTGGGTCTGTCATCACCAGAGTGTAGAAGGCTTGCGGTTCGCCGGTGTAGGTGACTTTGGGCTCATCTCGCACTTCTTTGGGGGTTATTTGGTTGCCTAGTTGGACTTCTTTGGTTTTGTATTCCACTTTGAGGAGTTTGGTGGGGGCTATGGGGACCACGTCGGGGGTGATCTCGGATTTGGCGAAGGCCTGTGAAGTTGGAATCAATCATTGCCATGAAGGTTCTCAGTTTCTAACAAAAAATATATAAAATTGACGAGTTTTTAGACCCTACAATTACTCGAAGAAAAGTGTTAGATTTAGTACGTAGTGTGGTAATTTTCGTTAAAAGATTTATGTAGCAGGAAAATGTTTCTTTGTGTTGTTTTAATAATAGTTTGTAATTGTGATTATAAAGTTTATATTGTGTCGTCCTTTGTTTTTTTATATTCCTTTGATAAGGCACGCAAACATTTACCTTCATTGAGGATTTCTTGGTTAATCTAGTGATATTTATTAGTGTTGCATGACAATTTCTTTTCTGTCTTGATTAATGGGAACGCGTAAACGAAGTGATAATAGAAGTTTTTGTAAAATGTACTGAATATATGATTAATGTTGGGCTTTTTATACACATCTGACCAATTCTTCGTCCTTAAAAATAGGTATTTAAATTGCCGATCATTGCATTTTTAACGGTTCCCATTTTTAAACTACAGAATAATATATAATTAACCCGCCTACCCACCCCGGCTCCATTGCAGTGATTCATTTTATTGGGTCAGAACGAAATTACATACCCTATAAGAAAATAGAGAGTGGGTGGGCGGGGCTAGTATTTGCTTATAAGACTGTTGAAAAAAGCGAAACCCAGCCCCGCCCAATCACCCGATCTTTCATTTTTTTTCTCCAGAAGTAAGAAATAAATCTTATAGTAAATATATAGAATAATAAAAAAGTTACAATTACAATTATAGCCTTTTTTACTTTTTTCACATCCTAGATTCGATTAGTTTCCACTCCTACTCGACAGAAGAATATAATTAGCCCCGCCCACCCACCCCACCTCTATTTCAATCATTGATTTTATCTGGGTGGATCTTATACTGAACAGAAATAAAATTAGTCGTTAGAGTGAACGATGATCCGGGCTCGTATTTGCTAAGATAAGATTGATTTTGGCAAATGACATATCCTCAAGAGAATAGAGGGCGGGTGGGCGGGGCTAGCTCTTGATAAGTTAAGACTCATTTTTGCAAATTACGTACCCTGTAAAAAATAGAGGGCGGTTGGGCAGCGCATTTGCGAAGATTAGATTGGACAGTTTTAAAAGTAGTCACTAGAATCAAGATGGGGTGGGTGGGCGGGGCTACTGTTTGCTTATTACTCTCTTAAAAAAGCGAAACCCAGCCCCGCCCACATCTTTTCTCTCACTGATTTATTTTGTTTAATGTAAAAGTGGAATCAATTAATCTTATAGCAAATAGTATAACAAAAAAAATACGATTGGCGCTTTTTTACATCCTAGTTTCTATTAGTTTCTATTACCACTCTATAGAAGTTATTATAATTAACCCCACCCACCCACCCCATCTCCATTTCAGTGATTAATTTTATCTGCTCTGATCTTACTGAACAAAATTAGTCGTTAGAATGAGATGTGAGCGGGTGGGCGGGCTCTCCTGCTACAATAAGACTAATTTTGGCAAACGACATATATCCTAGAAGAAAATAGAGGGCGGGTGGGCGGGGCTAGTACTTGCTAATATAAAATTGAACAACATTAAGTGTACCAATAGGAGTGAAGTGGGGGTGGCCGGGCGGGGCCACTGTTTGCTTATAAGACTCTGTAGAAAAAAGCTTAAATTCGTCTTTGTTGTTTTCATAACTTATTTTAATGACTGTAAAGTGGGAATTGAATTCAATTTTGACAAGCAGTAGAATCTAAAACTTAAAACAAAAACAAAAGTGGCCCCGCCCACCCACCCCGCCTCTATTTCAATGATTAATTTTATCTGGTCTGAATGAACGGTGGATCTTATATTGAACAGAAATAAAATTAGTCGTTAGAGTGAACGATGAGCTGGGTTAGTGCTTATTTGCTAAGAGAAGATTGATTTTGGCAAATGACCTACCCTCAAGAGAATAGAGGGCGGGTGGGCGGGGTTAGTTCTTGATAAGATAAGACTAATTTTGGCAAATGACCCTTCGTCTAGGAAAATAGTTAGCGGATGGGCGGAGCTAGTTCTTGCTACAATAACACTGTCTTTGGCAAATGGCATATTGTCTAAGAAAATAAAGGGCGATGGGGCGGAGTTAGTACCTGTTAAGTTAAGGCTGATTTTGGAAAGCGACATACCCTCAAACAAAATGAAGAATGAGTGGGCAGGGCTAGTACTTGTTAAGGTAAGACAGAACAATATTAAGAAGAAGTAGAAACAATCTTAGGCCCTCCCACTAACCCGTTCTTTCATTTTCTTTTCAGAAGTAAGCAATAAATCTTATAGTAGATAGTATAATAAAAAGTTACAATTACAATTAGAGCCTTTTTTACTTTTCTCACATCCTAGATTTCGATTAGTTGCGACTCCTACACGACAGAAGAAAATAATTAGCCCCGCCCACCCACCCCGCCTCTATTTCAATGGTCAACTTTATCTGGTCTAAATGAACGTTGGTCTTTACACTGAACAGAAATAAAATTAGTCGTTAGAATGAACGGTGGGCGGGGCTAGTACTTGCTAAGATAAGAGTGACTTTGGCAAATTATATACCTTGAAGAAAATATAGGGCGGGTGGGCGGGCTTAGTTCTTGGTAAAATAGGACTCATTTTGGCAATGACGGACCCTCTAGGAAAATAGAGGGCGGCTGGGTGGGGCTAGTTCTTGCTGAGATAAGACTGATTTTGGCAAATGAACCTCCCTCTAGGAACATAGAGGGCGGATGGGCGGGGCTAGTTCTTGCTACAATAACACTTATTTTGGCAAATGGCACATTGTCTAAAAAATGGTCTGAATGAACGGTGGATCATACACTGAACAGAAATAAAATTAGTCATTAGAGTGAACGGTGGGCGGGGCTAGTACTTGCTAAGATAAGAGTGACTTTGGCAAATGATATACCTTGAAGAAAATAGAGGGCGGGTGGGCGGGCCTAGTTCTTGGTAAGATAAGACTCATTTTGGCAAGTCACGGACCCTCTGGGGAAACAGAGGGCCGGTGGGCGGTACTAGTACTTGCTAAGATAAGATTGAACAATATTAAGAGTAGACATAGGAGTGAAAAAGGGGTGGGTGGGCGGGGCCACTCTTTGGTTATAAGACTCTGCAGAAAAAGCCTAAAGTCAGCCCATCCACCGCCTTTGTCCATTCCACTGATTTATTTATGTAAAATGGGAATTGAATTCTGTTTTGACAAGCGGTGGAATTTAAGATTTAAAACAAAGACAAAATTGTCCAATAACCCGTTCTTTCATTTTTTTTTCTTCAGTGGTAAGAAATAAATCTTATAGCAAATAGTATAATAAAAAAGTTACAGTTACAACCTTTTTTACTTTTTTCACACAGATTCGATTAGTTTCCACTGCTACCGACAGAAGAAATTAATTAGCCCCGTCCACCCACCCCACCCCTATTTCAAAGATTAATTTTATCTGGTCTGAGTGAACGGTGGATCTTACACTGAACAGAAATAAAATTAGTCGTTAGAGTGAACGGTGGGCGGGGCTAGTATTTACTAAGATAAAACTGACTTTGGCAAATGATATACCTCGAAGAAAATAGAGAGCGGGTGGGCGGGCCTAGTTCTTGGTAAGATAAGACTCATTTTCGCAAATCACGGACCCTCTGGAGAAGCAGAGGGCGGGTGGGCGGCGCTAGTACTTGCTAAGATAAGACTGAACAATATTAAGAGTAGACATAGGACTGAAAAAGGGGTGGGTGGACGGGGCCACTGTTTGGTTATAAGACTCTGTAGAAAAAGCCTAAAGTCAGCCCATCCACCGCCTTTGTCCATTCCACTGACTTATTTTATTTACTGTTAAATGGGAATTGAATTCTGTTTTGACAAGCTGTAGAATTTAGAACTAAAAACAAAGACAAAATTGTCCCCACTAACCACCCACCCACCCCTACTCCATTTTCATCACTCATGTTATTGGTTCTGCGACGGAAGTTGGATTTTATATTCACAAATAATAGAATCTAGGTACTGCTTGCTTATAAGATTCTGTAGAAAGAATCTTAGGCCCGCCCACTAATCCATTTCTTTCATTTTTTTTCAGAAGTAAGAAATAAATCTTATAACAAATAGTATAATAAAAAAACTACAATTACAATTTGAGCCTTTTTAACATTTTTCACATCCTAGATTCAATTAGTTTCCACTCCTACACGACACAAGAAAATAATTAGCCCCGCCCACCCACCCCGCCTTTATTTTAAAGATTAATTTTATCTGGTCTGAATGAACGGTGGATCTTACACTGAACAGAAATAAAATTAGTCGTTAGAGTGAATGGTGGGCGGGGCTAGTACTTGCTAAGATAAGAGTGACTTTGGCAAATGATATACCTTGAAGAAAATAGAGGGCGGGTGGGCGGACCTAATTCTTGGTAAAATAAAACTCATGTTGGCAAATAACGGACCCTCTGGGAGAACAGAGGGCGGGTGGGCGGGGCTAGTACTTGCTAAGATAAGAGTGACTTTGGCAAATGATATACCTTGAAGAAAATAGAGGGCGGGTGGGCGGGCCTAGTTCTTGGTAAGATAAGACTCATTTTGGCAAATCATGGACCCTCTGGGGAAATAGAAGGCGGGTGGGCGGGGTTAGGACTTGCTAAGATAAGACTGAACAATATTAAGAGTAGACATAGGAGTGAAAAAGGGGTGGGTGGGCGGGGCCACTGTTTGGTTATAAGACTCTGTAGAAAAAGCCTAAAGTCAGCCCATCCACCGCCTTTGTCCATTCCACTGACTTATTTTATTTACTGTTAAATGGGAATTGAATTCTGTTTTGACAAGCTGTAGAATTTAGAACTAAAAACAAAGACAAAATTGCCCCCACCAACCACCCACCCACCCCTACTCCATTTTCATCACTCATGTTATTGGTTCTGCGACGGAAGTTGGATATTATATTCACTAATAATAGAATCTAGGTACTGCTTGCTTATAAGATTCTGTAGAAAGAATGTTAGGCTCGCCCATTAA